TAGAGTTGACAAGTGCCCTCGTGTAGTAGACGATCTTGGTGAATTAGCTTTTGCAGCGCATTGAGATACAGTGTGCCCCAGACGAGGTGTCCTGAATCAGGATAAGGGCAAACGACGAACCTCACAAGCAGAGTCTCGGTAAGCAGCCCATTGACCAATCACAAACTGAGCGTTCTGATAATGTACATTCCTGCCTGAGCCCCCGAGATAACGTATACTTTCATCTTAGCGCGTGGACCAACGTTCACTCTCAGTTATGCTTATGGATGAGCATACATTCATGGTTGGCCCACTATTTGGTAATCAACATAGACAACCTTCTAGGCGAAGTGTTCATTCACGGCTAGGCTTATAAGGAGCATCATCCACCTCACATTGGAGTAGGCAGCACGACGAATAGAGATAAGCAATCACTCAATCCAGTGTAACGAAGTCGCTGACGAGGCGCTCCAATGAGACATGACTAACATAAGCAGGTCACATTTCATGGACGAGATTGAGTAGACAAAGCCTCCACACAAGTTAACCATGCCACATTTCACATCCTTCAAAGGAGATGGAGACCTGGAGAAGCACCTAAAGCACTAATGGAGTGCAATGATCCTTTATCGAAACAATGACGCCCCTCATGTGCAAGATATTCGCCACTACTTTTCAAGGCAAGTCCCATGATTGGTTCCACACCTTGTTACCACAATCCATTCGGAGTTTCAATGAGCTTTCTTTGGTTTTCACCAAGGAATACTCATCATATCGCTATATCAAAAAGAAGTCCGACCACTTGTTCAACATCAAGAATAATCCAAAGGAGTCGCTTCGCGACTATGTGAAGTGGTTCAAAGCAGAGAAGGTGAAGATAGTCGGATGCAACAACTCGATAACTAGTGCAGCCTTCTCAAAAGGACTCTTAGTAAACCACCCTCTATTCGGAAAATTGATCATGGTATAAGATCTAATTATGGCATAGTTATTTGCTCTGGTAGAGAAGTATGCACTTTGGGACAAGGCTCGGTTAGTAGACAAGGCACCCGAGTAGCCTAAAAAAAAATCTGCAATGGCTCAAAAGAAGGAAGACGAGATGCAGTACAACAACAAAAATAGGCAAGAGGCCAAGCGCAATGACCAATCCCAGACTAAAAGAGGCCCAACACCTAAGAACTATGCAAAGTTCTCGATCTTGATCCACCAAATCCTCCGTGACATCAAGAGCGAACCATAGTTCAAGTTGCTGAAGCAATCAAAGGGATATGCCTCTAAGTTGGATCACACTAAATACTCCGCATTCCATCGAGGTCCCGGTCACACAACTGATGATTGCTACATTTAGAGGAACTACTTAGAGAAGTTGGTGAAAGAAGGCAAGGTCAAAAGATACTTGGACAAGTTAGCTGCGTAACCTTGAAGGAACGTAGATGTCGACGAAGAGCTGTTGACCAAGACAATTCATATCAATGGCATTTTCACTGAATTCGAGCACTTAGGAGCCACCAACAACTCCAAGAAGAGGAAGATCCAACATGCTTTATTAGTCTCACAGGTCCAGGCAGTCGACACCAAACCTGGACCTACCGTTGGCTTCACTGTGTAGGATGCCGAAGGGGTTGACTTCCCACACGACGACGCTATAGTTGACAAAATGATGTTGACAACGAAAGTGCGGTCAACCTACTTTAGCTCTCAGTAATTCAGAAGATGGGCTTGGAAAACACAATCATATGCTAAGCGAAAGTTCGCACGGGATTCAACGGACACACCCCGATTGCCATTGGTAGCTTACACTTGATGTGAGAACAACGCCAATTGTCTCAAAGTAGAAGTTCACAATAGTAAGCAACCCGTCTCCCTACAATGGGGTTCTAGGGCGACCTTGGTTGATAAAGTTGTATGCCATAACATCCGTCAAGTATCAAAAGATCTTATTCCATATTCCAGGAGGAGGAGTCGGAGAAATCAAGTCTGACCAAGCCACATCTCAACGATGCATTGTGCAAGTACTGAAGGAGTCAAAGAAAAAGACTTTTACCCTAATAGAAGCCAAACATTCATTCTCTCAAAGTTTTTTACTTAAGCATTAGAGGTCATTTGAATAACCCCCAACTTATCGTGGGCATGTAAGGCTTTTGGTCTTTGATCAAAGGTGTTGGTTGTTTTGCAGGTGTAGTTTTGTTAATTAAATGAAGGCAAAATTTTGCATTGACAGCACTTGCATAGTTGACATCCACAAAATGGGAAAAAGTATATGTGAGAAAATGTACATGGCATCACAAGTCCTAGAGAGTTTGATTCGACAAATCCATCCCCGTAGTATTCCTTTACATAAGAGAGAGAGTTGATGATTTTGCTAGACCTGGCATTCGTGTCGTGTTTTTCATGTTCGTGTCGTTTTTGTGACATACCAGATATCATAACGGGTCGTGTCGTGTCGTGTCGTGTCTTGTCGTGTAACACCCATTAAAGTAAACGGGTAATATAACCCGACCCGGAATCGACACGTTAATATTATCAGGTAATATTACTCGATCCATTACCCGTTAAGGAAATATATCTTAAATCAATAAATAATGAAAATGAAAAACATAATTTGATCCCAAAAAAATTGAAAACATAAAATTTGCATATGTATATCACGTTGTCACATAAATATTACTTCAAAACATAAAAACAACATTTGTCTTTTAAGTATTATATGTCCTAAAATAAGAGTATAATGAAAAAACATTAGTACATTACCACAAAATACCAAATGTTCAAGGATATGCAAAATGAAAGGAACTGCGTTTCAAGTTTGAGAAAAACCTTAGACGTTTTTTACAATAAAACCTTTCAATTTCATCAATCACCAAGGGAAATAATATTGGTTTATTTTGAACTACCTTAAAAATACTATTCATAAGGCTTTGTATGGTTTGCATATTTTTTCACATTTTTCGAACTTGTAAATGAATTATTATATATTATTTTAATGTGTTTAGTATTTTTAAATTACTTGATATTTTTGTTTTTAATATGTTTTATAATTTTTCTAATCCCACTCTTTGCCAATAATATATCATAAAAATAAATAAAACTTAAAATTTTTAAATTTATATAGAATATTAATTATTTTAATATACAATATATACTTGTACATTATGCTTATTGTATTTTATAGTAAGTTTTTTTTAGTAGTTTAAAAAATTAAAACTATCAAAATAACTTTTTTTCTTAACGTTTTGAAACGAGTTATTCGCGTGTCACTCTTGTATAAACTTGTTAAGGATCCGTTATTAACGGGTTCTTATCGTGTGATCCGATAACAATCCGATTAGTTATCGTGTTGATCTGAAACTCATTATTTTTGTATCATTTACATGTCGTGTTAACCGATCGTGTAAAAAATTATAAAATCCAGACTTTGTTGAGGGGAAAATTGTAATCGAGCATTCGTAGATGTTATACCGACTTCAACCCACCACCAAAAAGTATTTGCTTTTAATAAAGGAGAATTTTCTTTAATAAAAGGAGATGTGATATGAACACATTGTCATAAAGTAGATCTGAAATTAAAGAAGTTGGCTTTTTAATGGGAGAATGATTCTCTCCCTTTTTTTTTGTTTTTTTTTTTCCTTTCCTTCTCTATTTTTTTATTTAAACGATTACAGTTAAATCACGTTAATGTTATATATTAATTTTTTATTAAAAAAATAAAATAAAAAGTGTAAAAGAAGAAAATGAAAGAGGATGGAAAGAAGAAAGAGAATCATAATCCTTTTTAGTAAGAGTGGAATTTTTAATAAAGTAGTAGTGGTGCCACTCCCATAGAGCATTTGCCTTTAATAAAGTAGAATTTGCTTGAGTAAAGGAGATGGGATATGATTACATTGTCATAAAGTCACTTTCCTGAACAAAAAAAAAAAAACCGAAGGGGCTGGCTTTAATAAAAAAGTCACTTTCCTACAATTGTTGAAATGGTTGAAATGTTGAAATGTGGATTCATGGGCTTCTTCTGAATCTAAGACTTTATCTCGTATATCCTCAGATTATTGCCCGTTTCTTTTGGTTTTATTAAAAAAAAAAAATTATTATGTGTTGATGTGATATATTAATATGTCACTCAAATTTTTTTTTAATAATTAATAAAAAGATTGTCAATCCAAAACTTTAGTCCCACAATCATTCCGATCCCAGTTCACATTCCTCTACCTCCATCTATGGTAGTCTTCCATGTCTATTCTCTAAAAAAAATTTTAATACATCCATATTTACACACTTTGACATTCTTCACCGAATTGGATCTAGATCGAGATCACCTTTGGTGACAACTTGGATTGGCAACCACTTCTGTGACATCACCGTTAATATTTAGACGGTCAACATCCTCACAACCTTAATCTTGGATAGCTTGTTGGACGCTTTCCTGGTGGTCTGGTGACGTAGAGAACAGAGAGATCTGCCTTAAGATAGTAAGGTTCTAATCGAGGCGCGTCTATTGTTGGTTGAAAATTATTTCCAAACCCTCTCTTAGACCTTGGTTAAGTCTTGTATCTTTGAGAATTTATTAAAGGGATATCTCTTCGGAGTAGGCCATACTATAAGAAGAAAAAAAAAATTGTGGAAAAAAAATATTTAGACAAATTTTTTAATTAATTATTAAACCCACATCAACACATAATAATTTATATATATATATATATATATATATAATTGGGGCATATTGACCATATTGATTTGTAACACCTATTTTCAAGGATTATATTGATTGATTTTCAATTTCAGGGACCATCTTGATGGTGTGGGTCAATTTCATGTAGCATTTGTAATAAAAACCGGTAAATCTTGTGAGACACATTTATGTTTCACATCAGCACTTAACAGAATTGTGACGAAATAACCACATTGATTTACGACACCTTTATTTATAACACAACGTCGATTTCAAGGATTACATTGATTGATTTTCAATTACAGAGATAATTTATAATAAAACCCCTTTATTTTTCAATACATACTATATTTTCGACCTCCGTGCTTGCCTTGAATTCAAGATGAAGATGAGTTATAGCCATTGGTTAACAAAATACGCTAAAACTGAAAGCATCGCTTCTTTCCCCAGCCCTTCTCTGGAGATCTGCCTGTGCGGCCATCGTCTCTCCAACTGAAAGTATTGCTTCTTCTCCAACTGAAAGGAGTTTTATCTTTTATTGTTTAATACGTATATATTTTCAACCTCCGTGCTTGCGTTGAATTCAAGATGAAGATGAGTTTTATACGACTCCGGTGTTTGATGCTATTATATGTTAATAGCCACCGGAAAATTTATTAGGGCAAGCCTATTTATACGGCTCCGTTTAACTTTTCCGCTCCAAAACCTCGGTATTATTTACTATTTAGTCGGTTCTCAAAATACGCTAAAACTGAAAGCATGGCTTCTTTCCCCAACCCTTCTCTGGCCAGCTTCTCCCAAGTGAAGGTATTGCTTCTTCTCCTACTTCTTTCTCTTTGGATTGATTTTACAAATTCTTTTCACTGCCTTTTGGGTTTTCTTCATCGCCATCACCAAGAACTTGGTCTTTTTACTGCAGACTCCTTCAAAACTTTTATTTTTGGATAAAAAGCTTGCTTTATTCATGGGTATTTGAGCTTCCTGCCTTTCTGGGTTCTAATTAAGTGAATCTTCGTCTAATTTGATATGGATTTTCTTTGGTTTTGCCATTTGTGGAGCTTTTAGTCTGGTTCTTGTAGTATGAGAAATTGAGAGGTGGAGTATTTTTGGATTGAATGGTTCATCAATGCCGGATCAAAGATGCTTATCAGATATGCCTATCCCTAAATTTTGTCGGTTTAAAGATTAAATCTTTTTTTTTTCTTTAGTTTTTTTCCTTTTTGCCATTTTCTTGCCTTGAAAGATGAAGATGAGTTTTATAGTTGGCTTCTTGAAAGAGGAGTTTTATAGGAAGTTTTCTGGCTTCTTTCGTAAAAGGAGTTTGTTAGAAAAAGTATCCAGCAAATCAAAGGAGTTGGCTTCATTTTTCAAAGCTATTTTAGCAATTATCTTGCATGGTTGCGACGACATGGGTTGTGTGGTAGATGTGAAATCTGTTCATGGGTCGGCGTTAAAATCCGAGCCTTCGGACCAGAACTTGCTGGAGGTGTTGAACCATGTAGCTCGTGCCTATTCGAAATGCTCGGATTTCGGCACAGGTCGTCGTGATGAAATGCCGCAGAGGAAAATATTTGACGGTGACAGAGAGCGGTTTGTTCCTTGATGGGTTTAAGTTCTTTTGCGATATGGTGGGATAAATTTGCTTATTCTGGGATTGTGTTGAATTGGGATGGAGGTTGTTGTACGAGGCGTTACGTCTGATACCTTTGCGGGATCTCCTTTTTTGTTTTTTTTTTTTTTGGATGAAACGATATTATGTACACGTGTGAGCTTAGTTTTTAGGCCCTCCACTGTCTTTTCATATCATGTTACATATAAATTGGCATTTCGGTTGTAAATTACTAGTAATATTTTTTTTTAATTTTATTGTTATTGTTGATGTAGATTTTTGTTTTCAGGAGACAAAATTTAAATTGAGCATCTTCATTATTTTAATGTTGTATTTTCTTTATTATTTATTATTTTTCAAATTTATTATCTATAAAATTAAAATATTACTAATGTTTCCTATTTTCAAAGGTTTTGAGTTCGAAACATATTGGATGTTTTTTTGTTATCTACTTTTTAAGTTTATAAAGTTAGTGCACCAAAATTAAGTTTGTTTGTTTGATTGGGTATGAGTGTTTGCAATCTTCAAAGTTAGGAAACTAACATGCAGTAGTATTATGATTCTTTGCACTGATATGTGAAAAATATTACTATATATATATGATTTTTTATTTACGTAAGAATCCTATACTAATTACAATTGAGAATAACATTTTTATAATACATGCTACAATTATAGAGATGTGTCTGAATTAATCAATTTTATTCTAACAAAAATGCAGAAAGAAGGAATTACGCCAAATTTGTATGCACTCATCAGCGTCTCGAAAGCAGCCGGGAAGTTAAGTAATATGTATGCACTCATCAGCGTCTCGAAAGCAGCCGGGAAGTTAAGTAATATTAACAAGATGAAAATTGCACATAATTAAGTCCCGTGTCTTGTCTGAAATGCTCTTTATATAATATGTACTCCAATTGTAAATCATCATCCGATGCAAGTTCTGTTTTTCACTTGAATTTCACCAGTTGCAAGACCAATCCGCCATGGAATGCTATGTGAGGGCTCGATCTCGCACCAACGGAAGGAATCGTGAGCCACCATCGGAGGCAGGGTAAGGCTTTTTTTTATTCTTTTATTTTTTATCTCGCTTTAAGGTGCTCATTGATTCATTCCTTGTTCTAGTTTTCTGTCCAAAATTCCAATAGAAACACAACACACCCTGAGTAGTATGATACGGGCTCAGCCTTGAGAATTTGAGGGTCCAGACTTATAGAATTTGAGGGCCTAGGCAAGCATTTGAAGTGGAGGTCCAGAATTCTCTGATTAGATAACTAAACTCACTCAAAAAAAAAAAAAAAAAAAAAAAGCCTATATTTTACTTTTTTTTATTTTTTTATCAAAGGTGACTTTCATTACTAACAACAAAATTTATAACACATGCCCAAAAACACAAACAAACAGCAGTGGGGCAACCAAACAAACCAAAAGAAGCCCAAACAAAAAGAAAACCAAAAACAACCGGATCCACTGTATCCTCCGCTGCAACCACCGCTGCAAGTTGCCGGGAAGAAAGTTGGCTGAGGTAAAAAAACCTTGATTAATTAAGAACAACTTATCTTAACAAGTGATACATCCAATATTACTGACTTTAGTGAACGTTACTCCATGAAAACTAGGTTCAGATGGCGTTGAAGCTAGCAAATGATAACACCCAATAAGAGCCCTCTTCTTCTTCTTCTTCTTCTTATTTACTGTATCAATAAAATAATAATCGATATCATTAAATAAATAAATAAAAACTATTTTTAATCTCTATTTATTGTATCAATAAAATAATAAAAGATATCAATAAAAAAAACCTATGCAATCGGTGTTAATCTGCATAGACATATACGAGATATTACCTCAGTATTTCAGTCAAGAAAATCCATGCTAGTATTCGTGCTAACTAGAAACTCGTACAAGTCGATCAGTCGAGTTGGAAACATTTTGGTCAGCTCGTTCTCGATTTCCTTTTCAGTCTGCATACAAATCAAATAATATGATAATGTAAATAGGAAACTTTATTCTAATCTTGCCAAGAAAACTTTTAGACTAAAACTATGAGTAAGATCAAAATTTAATTTTAATACCTTGACACATTAATCACCTCATTTATTAATTATATTATGTTGTTTTAATTATTTCTCTTTTGTCACTCGATATTACGGTTTGGTGGTATTCCTCTTCACTTGAAAGTGAGAGATCTTAGGTTCAAATCTCGTGGATAGCGAATTCGATATCAAATTAGGCTGCCCATTGTGTGGCTTAGCCAAACTGCTCCTCCTTTTAGTGTAAAAATATCGATGTAGTCAAAAAATTATTTCTCTTATTATTCCTAATTTTAATGTATTAATTATATTTCATTATAATTATTATTTTCATTTCATTCATCATAATATATTTTGTTGTAAACATTTAGATAAACTAATTTCTGTTATACAATATATTTCAATATACTTTGTCTTCTTCATTTAGGTACATTAATTCATTTAATATATTTTACTACATCAATTTTGGTACAACACATTTAGGTACATTAATTCATTTAATATATTTTAGTACATCAATTTTGGTACACACATTTAGGTATACTAATTCAATATAATACATTTAGATACATACATTTTGGTACAAATATTTAGGTACATTAATTCAAGATGATACATTTCGGTACTAACATTTAGGTACATTAATTGAGTCTTTCAAGTTTGAAGAATGTTAAATAAAATTAATAAATGAAAAAAACCTTTTTTGATAAAAAAAAAAAATTAAAATGTGTATATTAACAAATTCAAATATTTTAATGGGAGACATTGAATAAAATACACATTAAATAATTTGAATTAAGAACACATCAAATGACTATAATCAATAAGTAATCTAACGTCAGGTTTTTATTTAATTTCAATCTTTTTCAAGGATTAAAGTTAAAAACCCCTAATATAAAAACAAAAAAAATTGTAACATATGATTTAGATCACTTAATTTCTACTTTTCTAGTATTAGTAGAATTAATCAGTAATACACCTTGACAAGCAGAACAGAAGCATACCATGCGTGTTGTCGAATGCCGATAGATGTGATTAGCAACATTCTTTGAGAACTGCAAGACACCCACAACGGTATTTTTGTATCCCCTTCCCTGCTCATAATTAAGCACCGACTTGAGACCGTCTTTATAAAAAGATTTTTGGATCTGTGAATCAAAGTTAACCTCTCTTGTGTTGAACTTTTTTTCATACTCTTGTTTCCAATTCCGAGTTCTCCTGTTATTATTCAAGTGGTGTATAGCTCGGATTGGAAAATGAAGCGTTCGGCAGTTGATTGAAGGAGAGGATGATGGAACAACTTTTTGAATGTTATCCTGTTTTTTTAATTGAAGTAAAAATAAATGAAGTCATTACTACTATTAAGAAAAGAAAGATATTTAAAAATTTCGTAAATACTAATAAACTAAATCCTTACTCCCTTTTCCGGGCCATCTTGATGAAATGCGTTAGCTCTGATTTTTCCGGGTTATTTCTACGGCGGAGCATGCGGACAGTTAAAGGGATGAATTGTTCTCGGAATGTCTTTGGCGAATTTGGTGAAGATTCTATCCTTGGTTCTCCATTTGTTAGAAAGATACATTTCGGATTCAAGGAGCCACGATCATTGTCACGTCCGTACAATTCTTGTAAAACAAGCCTAGAGAATAAAAATAACAATTAGATGATATTCATTACCTATACAATAATCATAATCTAATTAAGATGTCAAATTAGTGCTTGAATCACTTGCCTGGTTATGTTCCGGTACCTATCACTGAGACGATCGCCATCCCATATAGATACCAGACCATCTCTCTGTAGAATAGAGTCTAAAGATAGCATATCCTGCTGTGAAACCAAAGCACAACATCCACCGTTACTTCATTTCATGTAAACTAAAACTACTGAGCAATGGAGACTGGTGTTTGAACATGAAGAAGAATAAACAGGATGTGGTCAATCACATAAAAATACTAATATAACTTTGACAAAATGTATATAATGCATACTGAGTGATCTCGCGCGCAGAGAGTTGATTAAATTTATCACCCAAGAGGCAAGAGGCAAGAGCCCCTTGTTCATCAGAAAGCCTTTTATACCAACATTATGCACCTCATTTATTGATTATATTTTAATGTTTTAATTAAGTAAATTTAGTAAAAGGTCAATAAAAACTTTACTCTTTAAATATTCTTATCTTCATTAGGAATGTTACTTGAGTTTCAAGCCCATATAAATAGTTATGAAATTACCCTTTTACCCCAAATTAAATCATAAAAAGTCCATGATCATGGAAATGGATCCTTATGCTAGTGATCCCCACATTTCAACCGTTCATTTTATATTGTGCGGCTAGTTTTCGTCAGTTACTATTTATGTTTAATTTCAAATAATAAAAATTAAATAATTTCTGACCGAACGATACACGATGAACGGCTGAGATGCAATGATCTCTAGGATCCCCACATAATGGATCCAGAGAGGATCCATTTCCCATGATCATCTCTCCCAAAAATGCTCCTTTTATGCGCGTGAAGATAACTCAAATCTCTCTCTCTCTCTCTCTCTCTCATGGATGAATCAATAAATATTTTCTTATGTGTCACTATTGTTTAATATTTTCTCATTTAGGCACATTTATAAAATATAATTGAAGAAAGTTAAATAAAATACATTAATAAATTAAAATATTTAATGGGGAACATTGAATAAAACACATTAGATAATAAAATAAAAATAGAATATGAATATGAACTAAAGTACACATCTATGGACTATAATCAATATGTAATCTAACACTAGATTTTTTTATTTATTAAATTTCAGTCTTTTTAAGTGCTAAAGTTCAAAAACCCCTTGTTTTGATCTTATAATGTGTAATACCAATGTTGAATATTTACGTACAATTGCATTAATAATGGTTAGATGAATATTTACTTACTACACAAATATTATGGGGTAATTACATTTTATCTCATCAGATTTGGATGCAATTGTAACCTTATATATTTTTAAAACATTTCAACCCTATATATTTTGTTATTATTTCAAGGGGTGTGCTATCCACGCACACCTCTTTTTACTTTTCACACACCCTTTTTTACTTCTCACACACTTCTTATTAATTTATAACCTTTGATCTTATTCAATTCATCCGATCCGATGATCGAAAATTAAAAAAATATGTGAGAAGTAAAAAAAGGTACGTGAATATCACATCTCTATTTCAATTGCAAGTCATCAATGGATTAAACGTTGATTGGGCCGAAATGTAAATTCCAGATCCAAACAAGGCGACAAAGATCTTTTCAAATACGATGGCTTCCTTGCGGCAATTACAGTTTACATGAAATGGCGTTGGTCACACATCTCGAATAACGCAACATTCTTTAAAAATCTTTACACGTATTTATATTCTACGCTCTTTTTGACCACTGAGACTTGTTCTCCACGGAATTGTACATTTTATAGAGCACCTTGGATGGACTTGCAATGCAAAGAAGGGTATCCACCGACAGTATAAATGTGGAAGAACATGAAACATTTTCTTTAAAAAGAAACAGACAAACACAACAGAAACAGATTAAGAGTTACAAAACTTACAAATATCTGATTTTGAACCATAAGGTATATCAGCAAGAAGCTCAGGACACATAGCTAGGAGTTCCGACAACCTGGATCAAGGGCTAATGATTCTTACCATATATAGATAACATACTAATATTTTTTTAGTCGAGCGATAACGTTAGTAAGTTAGATGTCAGATTAGTCACCGATAGGGTTCGAATCCACACCGTCATGCAAGGACACAACACCTTTCCACCATTGTGGTAAATTTTTCTTTTTGACCAACAAGAATAACCATGACTAAGACTTGTTCTCCTTTCCCCTTTCCGCGATTAATGCTTGTTGCTTAAAATAATTGCCATGAATCCACAATTGGAAGCCTAGCAATAAAAATCTCTTCGGTTGTAGTAGCGGGCATGAAAATCTCATCGCCGCCACTAAATTTGTTGATCAACTGTTACATCTCATCTATCTACCACTGAATTTAATTAATCCATGCTTAATCTCATCAATTCTTGGTTGGACAAGCGGTTGTCATTTGAGTTCATAATAGCAATGAGAGATCAAGAGGGGGGGTGTTGTTGTTTGAATTCATATACAGAAGGAGAAAGAATGGAAAAATTGAAATTAGTTTATTTTCAATTTGGGTCTTGTTTTAGGAATGTGCAAGTTGATTTTTTGGGATGGAGGAAGTGTGATATCCCACATCGCCCAGGGGAGTGATCCTTAAATGTATATTCCGATCCCTACCTAGAACGAGGCCTTTTGGGAGCTCACTGGCTTCGGGTTCCGTAGGAACTCCGAAGTTAAGCAAGAAAGAGGCTAGAGCAATCCCATGATGGGTGACCCACTAGGAAGTTGCTCGTGAGTTCCCAAAAACAAAACCGTGAGGGAATGGTAAGCCCAAAGCGGACAATATCGTGCTATGGTGGTGGAGTTAGGCTCGGGAGGTGGTCTCCCCCGGGTCGGGATGTGACAATTTGGTATCAGAGCCTAACCTTGGTCGCGAGTGTGCCGACGAGGACGTCGGGCCCCTAAGGGGGGTGGATTGTGATATCCCACATCGCCCAGAGGAGTGATCCTTAAATGTATATTCCGATCCCTACCTAGCACGAGGCCTTTTGGGAGCTCACTGGCTTCGGGTTCCGTAGGAACTCCGAAGTTAAGCAAGCAGGGGGCTAGAGCAATCCTATGATGGGTGACCCACTGGGAAGTTGCTCGTGAGTTCCCAAAAACAAAACCGTGAGGGAATGGTAAGCCCAAAGCGGACAATATCGTGCTACGGTGGTGGAGTTGGGCCCGGGAGGTGGTCTCCCCCGGGTCGGGATGTGATAGGAAGAAAGATAGATTGTAATTTGACATATTTTAATTGAAGCCCAAATCAGATATTGCATAAAAACAGAATCAGGAAACGGACATTGCATTGCAGTGTCTGAATTAAATGTAGGTATATTACAACAACAACAAAACTTTTTCCCACTAAGTGCGAAAAATGTAGGTATATTAATTCAATATAATATATTTCAATACAAAAATTTAGATACATCAATTCATTTTATTATATTTTCGATACACTTATGTATTTATATATTTTTCTTGTGTGTCAATGCTGTTTAATATTTTCTCATTTAGGCACATTTATAAAACATAATTGAAGAAAGTTAAATAAAATTAATAAATTCAAATGTGTATATTAATAAATTAAAATATTTAATGGGGAACATTGAATAAAACACATTAGATAATAAAATATAAATATGAATTAAAGTACACATGTAGTGAATATAATCAATATTTAATCTAACACTAGATTTTTAATAAATTTCAATCTTTTAAGGGTTAAAGTTCAAAAACCCCTTGTTTTGATCTTATAATGTGTAATACCAAGGTTGAATATTTTCGTACAGTTTTATTTGAACCCATATAACCTCTTTCTACACCCAACTTACTCTCTACACTCATATCAATTTTAATTAAAGAATCAATATCTCTTCAAACCCAAATTTACTACCAAAATTACCCTCACAAACCCAATTCAAAATGTCAATTTATTTTTGCACCCATTTAAAAAATAAAATCTCAAATTACTAATTTGGTGAAATTTCTACTGGTTTATGAGAATGAAAGCTTTCGAGTTTCTACTAAATACTTTTACTCATACTCTCTCTGAAAGAGTGAGGATCCTCGCTGGATCTTTTTTGTGAGGATCCCCGTACATCTTGCGGTCAGTTTTCATCAGGTACTGTTTATATTCAATTTTAAATAAAAAAATTTACAATGATTTTTGACCGCACGATGTACGATGAACAAATGTGATTTGAGAATTCTAGAATCCTCACAAAGACGATCCAGCGAGGATCCTCTCTCAGGCTCTTGTCACGTCAGAGCTCCCTACTGCAATTCACATAACTGCTCATAGTGAAATCAATTATCAGGGCAATTTTATAATATGTTAGTTTAAGTTTCTGAATCTCCCTCTGTATCCAACCTTTAATGTTCCTCATGTAATTCTCACCACTACTAGTTGAGTGGCTTCATCCACATCAGTTGGTTGGTTGTGTAATGGACAAGACTCTACAAATTTTTTTGCTCACTTTGTAAAACCCCACCAGGACTTGCTTATCATCTATATCTTCTTCATCGAAATGTTACTTAGAATCTCTTCATAATGAAGTATTTAAGTCTCACAATGGAAATACATCTCAGGCGGGGCGTAATCATAACTGACATTTATGTTCTGAAGGTGCTATTGGAAAGGGTATATATGGTGAGACGGAAATGGATGCCTTTTCTGTACCATATTCTACTCCTTCTGCAGTAACTATAATAATGCGCATGCCGCCTCGGGAACACTCACCTCGTTCTCAAGTTGGGCAAACACTTCTTCTCTGTTGAAATATTCAACCAAGAACACAGTCCACGTCCAAGGGGAGGCCTTGCCACCATCTACACAGTGAAACCCAAAAAATTCATCTTCTCAGCTTCCCGTGTTGAAAACGTGATTTGAAACTCAAAACCTATCTTTCAACTCTAAAAACATTTGAAATCAAACGAAAAAAATTTGAATAAATCGATTCATGCCTTAGTTGGAGGATTCAAAACTTCAAATTCAAAATCACCATACATCAATACAAAAAACTTCTTTTCTCTATGAGGGCTCTTAGGATTTTAGCGGAATGAATGTAGGATAAACATTGCTTGATATTAGGGTTTAGTTTGGGTGTGGGTTTATTGATAAATTTTAGTTTATTTATTAATTTCATTTTGTACTTGATGATAATTATGTAATAGGATAAAAATGATGAATCACATTTAAAATTTAAGTTGGGTGTAGAAAGAGATTATATGGGTTCAAATAAAATTTTCCTTGCGTTAATTATTGTTAGATGAATATTTATTTACTACACAAATATTAAAGGGTAATTACATTTTACCTCTTCAGATTTGGATGCAATGGTAACTTCATATATTTTTAAAACATTTCATCCTCATATTTTATTTATTTATTATTATTTCAATTGCAAGTCATCGATGATTAAGCATTCATTCGGCCAAAATGTAAATTCCAGGTTCAAACAAGGTGGTAAGCATCTTTTTACGTACGATGGCTTCCTTGTAGCAATTACAATTTACATGCAATGACGTTGAAGTCACATATCTCGAATAACACAACATTCTTTACAAATGTTACACGTATTTATATTCTACTCTCTTTTGACCACTAAGACTTGTTCTCCACGGAATTGTATATTTTATGGAGCACTTTGGATGGATTTGCAATGAAAGTAGGGTATCCACCAACAGTAATGATGTTATTTTTCGCCTTTATTTTTTTCCAATTTTTAGCCGATAATCGCTGTTTGTTGCCCCCTCTATTTCCTTGAGTATCAGTTTGTGCAGCCCAGTGGTAAAGAAATAAAATTTATTGTTTTCCTAGTAAATGAAAATAAAATTGATTTAACCATGATGAGGAGAAGACCAACAAGGCTTATTCCAAACTGAAATTTATAAATGCAGAGGAATATAAAACACTTTCTTTAACAAGAAACAGATTAAGAAAATACACACAACAGAAACAGACATGAGAAGTCATTTCATAGATACAGCATCCTGGACGAAATATGTTTAGTACAATACACATTGCAGCTAAAAAAGAACAATAATCCAGTGAGAGTATATGCAGACGGCATTTATTTTCTTGAGTATTACGGCCGAATGGTGCAGAAAAAAAATAAATTTATTACTTTCCTAGCAAAATAAAAGTGATTTAACCATGATGAGAAGGAGACCAACGATACTTTATTTCGAGCCTAGATATTTAATAGTAAAAAAAGTGAACCAAGAAACGGACACTACATTAAAATGTCTGAATCCAAATGTAAAAAATAGAATGAGAAAACGGACACTGCATTGCAATGTCTGAATGTAAATGTAAAATTAAGAGTCACGCAAGGTGTGAAGCATATGAGGCGTGTGAATGACAGAAAAAAACGAAACCAGAAAACGGACATTGCAACACATTGTCTGGATACAAATGTAAAAAACAAAATCAAGAAACGGACCTGCAACAAAGTGTCTGAATCCATATTCATCTATTCCAAAATATAAATAAATAAATAAAAAAAGAGAAATGAGATGTTAGTTGAAGTGAGTGACAGCTGTAGTGGTAGATTTTGTAATTTTTGTTTATTTTAAATGCATTTAAGTATCACAATACATTATTGACCTATTTATTAATATAAATATTGTTGATATATTGTTAATATTGTAACTTTTTATTGATTTTATACGAAATCACCCTAATTAAAATACTATTAAACAATAACAAAAATAAAACAAAGTTTGTTCATTTATGGTTCTTACCCATTTCGATCATTCCTTATCTGTCTGAGGAAGTCATTACACTCTGAAGTACGCGGTGCTCCAGGGTAGTCAAAAGTTTCTGATGCCAACACGTTTATCTGCCCTTTAAAGCCCTTGGTAAATACTTCTTTGTGAAGGATACAATATTCCATGGGTTATCCCTTCCTTCTCTAATCGGGCAAGTCTTTTAAAACACCTCTGACAAAAGCGAGTCCCTTCAGACTTGCTTTCATCTATTAAGAATCTCAATCTCTCCCCAGACTCATAAGTTAAGGGATTCAATTACTTTGTATATAACATACAATAAAATTGCATTACAAATGCGTGCATAATTGAACCATATTCTCTTGGCATCTCGTAATAGTAATGTAACAATATTTCATTAATGTAATTCGTAATCAACGAGAACGAAGACAATTTAATGTAATTTGTAATCAACGCCAATGAAGAAACAGCGGGATGGACACCTGTTCAAATTGGAGACAGAAGGATGAAGAATTTTTGCACCAATAATATTGTCATTGCTCTCTAACAGCTCTATATGCTGCTATTAGTACTATTAGGTCATGTAAATTAACGACTTAAAGTGTTTGCCACCACGCATGCAAATCTTTGTTAACTTCCCTACAGGGGAAATTTGAAGACCTAAAACTTAAATGCAAAAGGCATTTATTTAATGAAAATGACTTAAATTTTAATAAAAAGACTTAAACTTTAATAAAAATGCCAAAATAATTTAATATAATTAAAAAAAAAAATAAAACTAACTAAAATTGATGCACAGTCTCATGCATCACATCACTCTCTCTCTCTCCTCCCTCCTCGCTCTACTCGTACCAATTAGGAGTGGGTTGAAAAAATCGAATCAAACACAAAAAAAAAAAAAAAAAAAAGAACCAAATTAAGAAAACCGAACTGAACTAAAAGTTATTGGTTCGGTTTTGATGATTCAAAAACCGAACCAAACTGAATTAAATATAATTAATTTTATACATTTATTTAATATTTGAGTGTTTATATTCCAAGCCCAATTTTAAGTTTAGACCCAAGTTTTAAGATTTTATTTTAGGCCAACCATTAACCTATAATCCAAGTCCTTTTTATTCTCCCCCACCAACCCTCTTCTTTCTTCCATTTTCTTCTCCCCACTCGACCCTCTTCTTTCTTCCTTTTTTTTCTCCCCACCCGACCCTCCCTACATCTTCTTTCTCTTTGTTCCTTCTTGCATCTTCTTTCTCTTTCTCTTTTTTTTCTTCCTTTACTTTCTTTGAAATGGAAAAACTGGAAGCAAAGTTGTAGAGCATAGACCAATTTTCAAAAATTTAAAATAAATAGGTTTTATAAAAAATAAAAAAAAACCGAAGCGAACCGAAACCAAGCCGAAAAAAAATCGAACCGAAAAAAATGAATTGAACCGAATTGAACCAAAATTTCGATTTGGTTTCAGTTTCGGCAAAAAACCAAACCGATTGAAACTAAACCCACCCCTAGCACCAATCATATTATTTACCTATATTCCTCTCTCTCTCTCTCTCTCTCTCTCTCTACCCTCTTTCACATGTTCATATCAATTTTCTCTCTCCACTTTTTTTTCCCTCCTCACTCCTCCACATCAACTTTGGGCTCGTTTGGATGTGCTTTTAAAATGGCTGAAAGCGCTTTTATAGAAAATGTTTTTGGGTTCCAAAAGCACTTTAAGTGCTTTCTGCAAGAAGCACCATTTATGTGCTTCTTCTGGGAAGCACTTTAAGTGCTTTTTCAAGATTTACTTGCATTTTTACTAAGGATTGGTTCAAAAAATATTTTCACCAAAAGCGCTTTCAGTCATTTTAAAAGCACATTCAAACGAGCTCTTTATCTCTTATATCTCCTGTCACCTATTCTCACTCTCTCATGTCACTCTACTCTCACTTCATAAACAATATATTTTTTTATTTATTTTATTTTATTTTATTGTTTGTTTATTTGAACATTGTTTCATTATTTTTTTTTAGAACAAACTAAATAATAATATCACAAGACCAAATATGAAGAAATTTTTTATTTTTCAGTTTTAAAAGCAGTGCTAATTTTAATTTCGAAATAGTAGTTTTAACTTTAGTTTGGATAAATTATTATGTTTGTGTCATGTCATATGAACACTGACCATTTTTAGAATTGAACAATGATTATTTCTAGAATTGAACACAAAATATTTTTAGAAAAATTAATGAAAATGATTTCAAAAATTTGAATTTTAACTAAAAGTCATCTAACAAGTTTATTTAATGATAAGCACAAAAGAAAGAAAAGAAAAAAAACTCAACCAAAAGCGCATGGAAGGCGCACACCAATCTGTGTTCAGTTTCAGAAATAGTAACCGTGTTCAGTTTCAAAAATAGTGTAATTCCCATATTCAGTTTTAGAAATAGTGATAATACTAGTGTTTAGTTTAAGAAACAGTGATAATACCTATGTTCAATTTTTAGAAATAGTCAGTGTTTAGTTTTAGAAATAGTATAGTACCAATGTTCAATTTCAGAAATAGTCAATGTTCAGTAGTCAAATCGGGGATGGTTTTTTTTTTTATAGTGTCACTATTTCTTCCCTACAAAAAAATGCAGAGATTTTCTTTACATTAGAGCAAATTAGAATTCTCCCCTTGTCCAACATAATTTAGCATAGAATGCAAGATGTAAATTCGTGGGTTCACAAAATGTTTACCATAAGAAAATATTTATATTTGTAAAGTATGATGGTTTTTCGCTTTTACAAGTACCATTTGTAGCATGATATCCACAATAATATTTGAATGCAATGAACTCAAAAATCCTTTAATAATATGGAAAATAATGAATATATATTCGGTCCATCATAATTTAAAGGGACTTAGGAAATGAAAACACAAATATTTGTAATTAAGGTAGTGCATTCATGTAAACTTTATGTAAACACAATTATTTGTCCCGTTAGATGGATGGATGGATGAATATGGGGTCCCATCAGAACCGTCCATCACTTTTTATGAACTAAATGACTATAATTATTAGTCAGGTAAAATAAAGAAAACATTAAATTATTAGTCAGGTAAAATAAAGTAAACATTAAAAAAGTCACTTAGTACTACGATCTAGTGATTTTTTTCTTTACTTGTATCCCCATTTAAGGATTGGTTTTGCATGGCTTTTAGTTAGGATTTTTTTTTCCTGTCGTCTTATCATTAAATAAGGTTATTAGATGACTTCTAATTAAAATTCAAAATTTTAAAGTTCTTTTTACTAGTTTTCCTATAATGAGATCTTGAAATTCACAGGTTAACAAGGAGTGTGATATCCACTCACTCCTTGTTAATTTATGTCCTTTAATTCATCCGATCCGATGATCAAAAATTAAAAAAATATACGAGAAGTAAAAATGAGTATGTAGATATCCTCCGTAATTTTCCTTCAAAAAGAACATTTAGTGGTGGGATTTACCAATGCGACCTGTTTGAATTGCTAAAGGACCCAAATTTTATCTCCTTACTGCTTAATCGTTGAATTATGCTTCCATGCTCATTAAAGTTGAACGACAAATCGAAAGCTATAATATGTGGAATCACCAACAATAACTCCTCACCCTACCCAGGAATGAAGTTAGAAATCTGCATGCATAGGAGCATTTTCAAATAACAAAGTCACAAATTAAAAAGTTCAAGAATATATTAAAAGAACACTTATATATTAATCCTTAAGTTTTTCATACAAATATCCATCGATGCGTTTTTATGTTTTGTAAGCGTTATATGACAATCTCATTACCAATACCATCAAATATCTCTCTTTATAAAAATATTCATGTTATCATTCATTCATTGATCTTCTATACAATTTCACAATCGATCTTCAAAATTTTCATGACCGAAATTGCTCTTTCAATGATGAAAATATCACATAGAAGAGTTAATACTAATAACACAAATAACTGAAAGAGTACATTTTTTCACACAAAAATACCTGAGTGGGGGCATCCACCCCCTTTGAACTCAAGGTGACTCCGTCCATGACCCCACCCTTAAAAACAGAATATACAATTGCAATTGTTTCAAATGCACCCAAAAAAAATAAAAAAAGCACCAAAATTTCTATTTAATTATAGCAGCAACTTCATCAGTTTCATTTGTTTGCACGTAACTGATGAAATAAAACGCGTGGGCCACAAATTGAAACACCAACAAAAAATAACTGCAAATCCCTCAAACACAACAAGAAGCAAATTTCAGCCAGAAAAATAGACAAAAGCTCCAATGATGTAGCTTATTGTATCAAACCAGCAAATTAGTGGAACTTAAGAAAAAAGGTGATTAAATAAGTACATAAACTCATACACTAATCTGGTTTTCATATATGGGATGAGATGTATCCGTGATTAAATAAGCGTCCTCATTTGTCACGTTGGTCGTTTTGTTTTCATGAACTCAACCAGCTGCAAATGTCGCCACCTGATTTAGCTCAAGGGCTTTCTTTCTCGTACACTTAATTGGCATACTTCCAGCTGATGACCTTCCATATGTTCTTCAGATAATCTGGTCTCACATTCTTGTACTGCAACTTCGAAAAACAGATGCGTCTTAATTCAAACTTTCATATCGCATGATACACGAAAAGGATAGCAAGAAACTAAAAATATAGACAGCTAACAAGAGCAAACACCACTGACATGTATTCTACAAAAAATCATCATTTGACTAGGTAAAAAGTGACGACAGTTTTAAATTGAATAAACAATGAGCTTGTTTGAGGTCTCCGTGGCATTGCAGATGCTAATTCAAGTACTGACAGAAAAAGATGGAGGCTGTGTACAGACACCAAACATAATAGGAAAACAGAATCGGTGTCACTTCGTTAGTGTCTGAACAAAGGCCTAACTATAAACTTTTCATCGCACGAAAAGACCTATCCCTCGTAAACAATTTAACTCCAAGGAGCAAAAACTGATTTGTCCTTCACAAAGACAGTTTTAAGAACCCTCCTACCCAATCCACTTGTACTCCACAAAATAAACAATATCTTAGACTTCCAAGGCTCACCAATTAGGCAATTAAGAGAGTGTATCAATATGTATTGACTCTTATATACTGCACTTGCAAACTGATATGTGAAAATAAGTGAAGGATATACCTATTAGGAAAATATAGATGATGCAAATTGACTTTGCTCAAATTTACCTGCAAGTAGTACGCATGCTCCCAAACGTCAATACCAAGCAATGGAACCAAAGATGCTCCCTTAGTAACCAATGGGTCCTGTCACAAGTTAATCAAATTAAAGAAAATTCAGGCGAAACAAAAACCATAACTGTGTGCTGCATATGATATCGGTCAACTGCTACCGAGTTCTTTGGACAAAGCGATCCAGAACAGAAACATTTGTAAATCCCAAAGTCCTTAATGTTGAATAATTCTTGAGATGGGGTAACAAGAAAACAACAAATCTTCAACTTGAGTAGCTAAAGTTTCATATTAAGTCTAACCGTCATAAATCAACAGCCAACAGTAGCCTACATGATTACAGGAAACAAGATATACCCTTCCCTAAGGAACTAATAGTAACAGTTCATGAGGAGTCTAAACTACATCGTGCTGATTGAAGTGAATATTTTGGGGTTTATTTCATTTGCAGGGGTTTCAACCACAAGTTTCTTCAACTCTTTGTCTAGAGCAAGCCACTGCCAAGAAAGATCAAACAAGCGTGTGAACAGGTTGAATATCGATTGAAGCATCTAGTTGAATGACATGGAAAAAATGCTGTAAAATCAAGAAGATGCAAAACTTACCACCCATCCAGAACACCAATGTTTCAAAAGATCCGAAATTTGTGTCAATAGCCCAGCCCAGGTTACCATGACGGGGCTCACCACCACCTTGCTGCCAAGTCTATGTTAGAGTTGCAACTTGTAACGTCTCATACAAATTAAGGATTGTAGAGATTGATTTCAATAATACTTGTATGCTAATAAGGAGAGTGTATTATTAGGATTTATAGCTAAAGCAATCCTGATACGATTTGTAAACCTAATCAGATATGAATACTAAAGGTTAGGTGATAAAGTCTTGTTTGAATAGAATTACATGATGGGAAGTTCCCTACTCGGATTCCACCTCTTTTACCATATAACAAGGTCCCTACTCTCTCACTTGATATATAGAAATAACCCTTCTAGCTAGCCCCCATTGAATAGAGTTGTGATAAGGTAAGTGAAAGAGAGTAGAATATCATTTGTTTATGCTATGAAGTTGTCACGATACAAGGAGAATGCAGATACTCAGAAGATTGCTCAACGGAGGTTGTAATCTAGATAAGTGTTTTTAGTCGATTATGATTCCTTTTTTCATGTGGTATCATAATCACTCATAATACAACTAAAGATCTATTTGGTAAACCCTAAAATTTATAACCAAAGTCCACGACATGTTTTAGATTTCAATCGAGAAATAGATGTTTGGCTTTCAAACATATAACGGATACTTGAAATGTTGAAATCAATATTAAGAATGCAAATTGATGTTTTGGTGCCGTGTAGCTTGTGTAAGAATGACTTATATTTGAGTGTCATGTAAACTATAGTGTAATTATGTAAGTGGAAGTGTTGCATTGTATAAGGACTCAATTATATGAATTACACCGGATTAATTCTATATTAGAGGGAAAACTAAAGGTGGTTATCAATTTAAATAAAGAGCAGTTGTAACCTAAACAAATTGACAGCAACCGCACTCTAATAGGGAGATGCAGTTGCAGCATATAAGATTGATTTTGGCCTCTCTTCTCGGGTACTTCCTATTCTCATATCGAATACCAGTCATATTGAGATACTATTTCTGAATCCAAGAGAAGAGAACACAAAATCATGGCTTCATTGTCTTCCACTCCGAGTAAGTACACTCCTTATACTGTCATGAACCCTAATCATGCATGTACTATGTTTGTACCATACTTGACCAATCCCGAAACTACCAAGCACCGGTCAACGTCATACATTCAAGGACCCACTAAAGGGTTCATGCTGAGGCACCCCTACCAAAGCACAAGAGTTTCCTCCAACTAGGAGGCCAATTACATCATGACACGTGTCAACGTCAGAATAAAACTCCTAGAGTCCCCCATCGACCGTGAACGAAAGCCGGAGACTCTTCTCAACTATAAAAGAGGGTCATTCACCTACAATTAATTAACATTATTGTACTTAAACTCATCATTAGAACCCACTCATGATAATTATGCTTAAACCTATGTATTGTGTAAACTCCTCACTACTAATGAGAACTCCTCTACCCCGTGGACATAGCCAAACTTAAGGTGAACCACGTACATCAATCACATTTAATAAACATAGATTGATGGCTAAAAATAAAAATAAGAAATCACATATATTATAGTCACTAGTACGTAAATCGAGATACATGACATCACAATGAGTCCATTAAGCTCCATGAAATCTCAACGACACTAGAATAACTCGGGCTAGTTGACTAAAAAGTCAACCGTCGATCAAGGTCGAGGGTAGGGTCCACAACCGTAGTAATCTAATCCAGAAGATCTACCAATTAGATTTTTGATCTATAACTTCCCAAGAGTCTCGTTAATCTTCTAAAATAATATCATAAAATTTCAGAACGATCAAACGGTCGGATCTCTACCAATCGTTAAAATTAAATGGCGGTCGACATTTAGTTTTACAAACTTAGAAATTCAATTCGGGAAGATCCATACGTTAGATTCCCAATTTGTTAGTTCCTAATGTCCTCAAATATTACGTACTATCACGTATTAAAGTTTGGTGACGATCCAGTGATCGGATAGTCAATTCATATAATGATCAAGTGGCGGCCTCTATCAAAACTATGTTTAAACGACACGATTTCATCAATCGGACATGACATATGAAATCTGGGTATCAAATTTAGCCTAGGAAGGTTAGGTGAGGTCTCACCCTACGAATCGCCCCGACTCGCCGAAAAATTTTCCTAACTCCAAAAATTATCAAATTTTACAGGCAGGTAGATCTCAGTGAGGGAAGTAATTTTTATACCTGGGCCGAAGACCAATTCGGCCGGAAAACCCTCCGAAATTCATTCGATCCGTTGGAAACCCTAAAATGGGTGCACTTCGATTTGACGTCTCATCTGCTCTACTGCCCCCAACTTGTCTGGGTCTTGTTCATGGGCTTAAGAGGAAGCTAATGATGGTGCTAGTCGAAGGAATCATTCTCAGAAATGGTAGATCACAGCCTTGGCCCTCTCAGACCCGACGTCGTCGTCCTCTATGAAATAGGGACAAATTCTTGTATACTTAATGTGGAAAATGTAGAGGAAGGGGTCGGTGAGTCGTGTGGTAGTGATTGATTGCTGAAATTTGTTGGAAAATCAGTGAAATTCGTCGGAATCCCTCATTGAAAACCGGGTCCGATCGAGCCAGGAAATGGGTAGAGGGGAGGGTCTGGGTCAGTTCCCCTCCTTCTCCTTCTCGCTCATTTCCCCTCTTTCCCTCATTCTGATTGGGCATCTCCTCCTTCCCTAGTCATAGCCATCCACCTGGCTAAAAAAATAACGGGAAGGCTCCCAACTTTTCTGGAGCTTTCCAGAAAAATGGGCCAAATTTACCATTTTACCCCTAGCCTTTGCTCGTTTATATTTCATTCATTATAGCTCCAAATCACCTTCCGTTTACGCTCACACATTCGTATTGACGAGTACTATTCAAATATGTAAAGAAATGTGGAAAAATATATACACATCAAATGCGTTGTCAAAAATTATGTTTAGTCCGTTAAGGGCGTTTTCGTCCTTTTAACCTTTTTTTTTTTTTTTTGCCGCCGCAAATATAAACGCGTCAATCTTAAGAATAAGGAATTTTAAATAGTGAAATCCGGGGATGGGATTTCACAGAAGAAGAAAGAAACGAAAAATATTAGTGAGCTATACTAAGGTTAGAGTCGTTAGACAGAACAGAGAGAAATGGGCAATAATTAATTTTACACTCATATTGTTTCAAATAATAAAAAGAAACTACGGCTGTCCTGAGAACATAAACATCCTTGTCAAACCTCATAAACATTGTATCATGTTTACTTTATATTTTATAGTAGCGTCGATTTAAAAATAACATTATTTTTAAAACATGATAAATATGTTATACTTAACTCTTAAAATATGGGATCTGGGGTTTCACAGGGCCCACCGTCTTCCTTCTTATTCCTCTTTAACTTTCTCTACCAACCATTCCATTTTCCATGGCTGTCTTCTTATATCACTTTGACAGTCAACCTGCACAACATACCCAAAGTTATAAAAATACAACAATTCAACTTACTTGACCTATTAGTTTTATTATTAATTAAAAAAATAATAAAATATTATTCTTATTATTACTGTTACAGTACAATATCAAAATTCTCACCTTTCTCACTGAGGAGTCTAGTTGGTCATTTAGTCGACCAAGTTAACACTTTTAGGTTCAGATCTAGTGTCAGTTCCTTTATTAACCACAAACTTGTAGAAATCTAGCATCATTTTGGGGAAGAACACACTGAGCCTCTTGCCGACTTCCTCTTTACTCTACACTAATTTATAATAATAAAAATACTTTAGAGATAGGACTATCAAAATTCTAGAAATGAATAAAAAGGTAATATATATATCCATACAGGCTTTTCGTTCCGTCCAAAATACTCTCCAATATGGGCAACCACGTTTCTTGAGTACAAGAGTGCCCCTAGCGCGTTCTCTTCATAATAATAATCCGGAGAATGAAAAACATCTGAGTAACCCTTCAATTGACCAATTTTGTCGTAGATTTTTACGGGGTTTTTTCTGTAATTCAATTTCCAACCTTTATGTTCGATGTTCAATTTGACTATCTTTTCCAACAAAAAGTTCGCCTTTCCTTCATTTGATAGCAAGAAAGGGTGACTCTCCAATTGCTTAAAACTGAAAAGAAAAAAAAAGTTGATAAAAATGCTATTAAACAAAAATAAAATAAAATAAAACAAAGTTTGTTCATTTATTGTTCTTACTTATCTCCTGCATTGTGTATCTCTTTGAGGAAGTCCCTATACTCTATCTTATTATGCAGTGCTGCTGGGGCCTGAAAAATTTTTGATACCCAAATTTTGATCTGCTCTCTAAAGCGTCCCTGCCTAGGCTCATTCCGTGTAGGCTCATTCCGTATTGTCACTTTTGAACCTTTGTAAATAATTTGTGATGCATCCAATACTCCACAACTTATCCCTGCTTCCTCTAATTGGGCAACTCTTTTGATGAGACCTCTGAAAAAAGTAAGACAAATTCAGATTTCAAGAGATTCAAGATGAACTAGGTTCGAAGAATTATACACTTTCGGAGCTATGTTGCACATATATGATGACACCGCAAATTTAAAAAATAAGAGCACAGACACGGCAATTAAAATATAATAAATTTAGAATGTTGTTAGACTCATCATAGTGTCCTATTTTCTCACTTACATTATAATCTCACCCATCATAAAAGATTTAAAAATTGAAATGTCATTTCCCCACCCACCATTATTTCAAAATAACCAATATTTATTTATTTAAAATAACTCTAGCATATCTTTAAATAATAATAAAATAAATAAAAATAAAAAATGAAGGAAAATCTGAGACCCAAGACCTAGACCTTCATCATATTCTTCAAATCACGGCACCCCTTCCATCGTATTTCTTCCTACAGACAGATCCAAAATTCGTTGCCCGATCTCTCTCCATATCCCCACCCTCTATTTCCACCGAATTCCATATATATGGCCCAATACTCCCCCTCGACAAACCTCAGTACTCGCACCTATTGTTGCCTCTCGCAGGGATCCGAGATCCCAAACCTTTCTTCTTCCTACCTTTTTTCCAACGCCGCATATCTTACCCCCAGGTCTCTCTTTCCTCCGTCGAAGTTTCTTGCCTCTGTCGAGCACACACCCATTCCTTCCTCTTCTACCCCCAATCTTTCCCTCAGCCTCTCTCCGCCCACATCTTACACCCCTCCCACCATTTTTTATTTATTATTTTAAATTACTTTTTGGTTTTTTCAAAATTTTAGTAATTAATTAGATTGGAGTTTCAAAGTCTTTTCTTAAAAGATAAATATGTCATTCAGGGTATGGATGTCAGCACCATAAATATGTCCCTTCAGACTTGCTTTTACGTGTCAATTTTCTACATAAATCCACTTTGGCCGCTTAATCTTCCATTTTGTTTTCGCTTCGTTTCTTCCTTCCACACTCACTCTCTCTCTCTCTCTCTCCCTCTCTCTGACCACTCGATAAATATGTCAGACAGTTCGGGTGTCCGACACTCCGGGGTTTCAGGGTGTCCGAGGGTTTCGGGGTTTCGGAGTGTCCGTGCAGCATAGCTTGACAGTCTCTATAATTGCTTAAATTTCAGTGAGTTGAAAAAATTGAAAACTTGCTTTAATTTCAATTTCAGTTACTCTAAATTATTTAGCTAACTAATCTGGATTATTATTGCAAGCAAGGCTAACCTCAAAATAGCTCGACAAGTGACTGCAGGTTGGTTTCCCTCCCATGGACGTGTCCGCATAATCTCCTCGAGCGTCTTATTATCAGACGGAGTTGCTTGAACAACCTGGAGCGTCTTATCATCAGACGGAGTTGCCTGAGTTGCTGCTTGAACGGCCTGGAGCGTCTTATCATCAGACGGAGTTGCCTGAGTTGCCTGAACGGCCTGGAGCGTCTTATCATCAGACGGCGTTGCATGAGCGGCCTTTTTATTTGACTTTGTTTTCACCATGACGCTGAAACAGGTACGTGTCAAAACCAATCGGGACAAGCTTTTTATATAACTTAATTGGAGTGTTAAAACAATGACAGATAGTCACATACAACCATCAATCTAAGTCCTTGTAGTCATAATAGCAACCCCACTTTCATTACACAGTTTATCAAAAACGCATGATCGATCTCGGAGAATTTATGGGACAAGGCTTAGTGGGGTGGTTGTTGTATCAAATGGTGTAAAATTAATCTCGTAAATATTTACGTGGATAGTTTTTGTTGATATATATACATTGAAGTCTTTGATAATACGAGATGTTTCTAATAGCATGTACTAACACCCTCATAACACAATCATCAAACACTCCAGGATTCAATTACTTTGTATATAGTAGACATTAAAATTGCAGTACAAATGCGTACAAAATTGAACCATATTCTCTTGGAACCTAGGAATGGTAATAACATTCCATTATGCAACCCTCACTTGAACTAATGACACGCTAAGTCACTTACAACCATCAATCTAGGTCATTTAGTCATAGTAGCAACCCCCACTTTCATGGGTAAATTACATTTTCATACCTCAAGTTTGGGGTCTATTTCAATTCCTTACAACATTTTCAAAACATTTCACTTTCATATCTTAAGTACTATTTTATTTCAAAATAATACCTCCGTTATATTTTTCATCCATTGATCCGTTAAGTGCTGACGTGGCTGCCAAATGTCTGCCACGTGGTAAATTTTATTTTATTTTTTTAAAAAAAAAACCTGAATCTTCAACCAAAAAAAAAAAAAAAAAAAGTTAGAAAACTGATCCCATCACCCCACCCCCCCTCCCGGGGGAGTGTCGGAGCCTCATCATCTTCCATCCGTCGTTCGCACCCATCCTTCACCTCCTCCGCGCACCCATCTTCCCCCTTCCAACCTGAGCCCAACCTGCAACCCAGAAAGAAGAAAAAGAAAAAAAAACCCAGTGCACGCAGCCTCAAAATTCCTCTACACACCCCACTCCTTAAATCCACACTCATTGGGGAAGACGGGATCTAGGTTGTATGGAAATGGAGAGTGTTTTTTTTTTTTTTTTTCTGGGTTGCAAGTAGTGGGTGCGGTGGAGGAGGTGGAGGGTGGGTGCATGGTGGGTTTGGGGAAGATGGGAGGGGGAGGAAGATGAAAGATGGGTTTTTTTTTTCCCCCTCCTCTTCTTCTTCTGGGTTGCAGGTTGGGTTGGGGGGTAGGGTGGGATGAGGGTTGCGGGTTTAGCTTTTGTTTTTGGTTTTTTTATTTATTTTTTATTTTTTTTAGAAGATTCAATTTTTTTTTAAATTAAAAAAAAAAATTCAGCCACATGGCATATATGTGGCAACCACGTCAGCACTTAACGGATCAATGGATGGAAAATGTAATGGAGGTATTATTTTGAAATAAAATAGTACTTAAGGTATGAAAGTGAAATGTTTTGAAGATGTTGTAAAGAATTGAAATAGGCCCCAAACAAGTATGAAAATGTAATTTACCCCACTTTCATTATACAATTTATTAAAATTCACATTCTAGCATGATCGATCTGGGAGCATTTACGGGATAAAGCTTAATGGGATAAGGGTGGTTGTTGTATCAAATTGTGTAAAATTAAACTCGTAAATATTACGTGGATAGTTTTTTGAGTTAGCTCTATGGCTGCCCCATGGCCCTATGGCCCTATGGTCGGTCTGGTTGGAGGTAGCCTTCAAACCATCATTCTAGGTCATTTGGTCATAATATCAAACCCAACTTGCATTGTACAATTTATTAAAATTCACTTTCAAAGCATGTATGATTACAACATTCGATCATGCATCCCTCACTTGAACTCATGACTAAAGCTAAGTCACTTACAACCATCAATCTAGGTCAATTGGTCATGATATCAACCCCCACTTCCATTATACTTTAAAATTCACTTTCTAAGCATGATCGATCTCGGAGCATTTATGGGACAAGGCTTAGTGGGGTTGGTGGTTGTATCAAATTGTGTAAAATTAAACCCGTAAATGTTTAGGTGGATAGTTTTTGTTGATACATATACATTGAAGTCTGATAAAACGGGATGTTTCTAATAGCATGTACTAATACCCTTATAACACAATCATCAAACGCCCCAGGATTCTATTACTTCGTATATGATATGTAGAGCAAAAAATAATCAAGAAGCGACACGTGGATTTTTGGGTTAAAAGGACAAAATTACCTTCGAGGCACACTGGAATTCCTACGTGTGGACAATGGACAATCATCTCTCAATCAAGCCAAAAGTGCCCAAATAGGTATTTATTTATAACATATTTCATCCATCCCTCATCATATCTTCTCCACAAGAGAACCCCCCTAAATCATTCATTTTTTATTATATTAATTAGCTAATTAATTGATTAATTATTCAATTAATTTGCTAATTAAACACAACTCATTAACTTCACCCACAAAACCATCCAAGTGGCCGGTTCATCTCCTCCCAAGGTGGCCGGCCACACCCTTATATAAACACCCTCATTCTCTCCAAAACTCAATTCCAATTCTTTTGCAAAATTCTCTAAATTCTCCAAACATTTTTCCCTCAAAATTCTAACCTTGACATCGGAAGTTCTTTGGCCAAACTAGCCCCCCCTCCCAAATTCATCGTGGGCACGTGAGGCTCTTGGCCTTGACCTAAAGTGTTATTCGTTTTGAAGGTGCAATTTTGTCCGAGAACAAGGAGGAAATTTGCATCCACATGGTAGACAATAAAATTGCGTTACAAATGCGTACAAAATTAAACATATTCTCTTGGCACCGAGGAATGGTAACAGCATTCCATTATGCATCCCTCACTTGAACTAATTGTCAAGGGCAGACCGCATAGCTGTTCGAATTGGAGACAGAAGGGTGAAGAATTTTTGCAGTAAATTGTTATTGCTCTCCAACATCTCTATGTGCTGCTATTAGTATTTTTTTTTCTTTTCATTTTTTTGGAGAAAAGCTACCATTAGGTGTGTTAACGCTTGTATCTAGCAGATTTAACTTCGTTCATCCAATTTTGGACATCTACAAATTAGGTTTGAAGAAAGTTAGTGTTATTCCTCATATGATCAGAAAACCTAAAAGAGGTATTCAGTAAAACAAACAGAAAAGGGTCCACTCCAGAATTTGAAGAGTCTGAAATTTGATGTAAATTGGCAAAGCATGTTAACATTAATGACACAATATTTTCTTACAAAAACATCTGCACCTGTGGCCGGTAACAACAAATCTCAGTAGTTAATATTACATTTACTTGAGTCTCTCTCTTCGTAACCTCTCGAGTTCCTTGACCATCTGCCAGTGTTCTAATGATAGGGAGGTTTCGCCAAAACTCATAGACATCAATCGACCCATTGTCAGCAATCTGCAAGCACAAGCAACAGAATAATGGCTTACTAACGAATCTCAAAAGAAGAAAGAACATTTCGCAAATCTTTCAGTCTCTAACTTGCTGAAATCTTGGGTTCCCAGTGTCCTATCTTCCTGCCTTGCCGCAACCAAGTCATTTTCTATCACCTGTAAGGTTTCAGGCAAAGACATAAGCTAGAGGCGGATCCATCATTTTATCGTTACATGGAGAACGACACTTCTGAACTAAATTAGTAATCCAAAGTTCCCAAATTATCTTATCTTATTTTCTATTGTTAAGAGATAATATTATGGTTTTTAATCATAATAATTATCTTTTAATAAATTATTTCAATTTTCTTGTACAAAATAAGTGGGATGCAAATCACAACCTTAACGTAGAAGCAAGCAAAACAGTCCAAGTTAATTTGGATTTGGTAGCAGTGTACTGTGTGAATTAGAACAGCTCGGCTTGGACTCTTCACGTGGCATAGCATGGATTTGCAAGTTTTGGATAATGGTGAATAGAAAACCTAAGTAGGTTAGGTTGATTGACAAGTAGTCAGAAATGAATTTTAAATGGTTTGAAATTCATTAAATGGGATCAGGATGTATGGATGAGTGATAGAATTATGACAAGAAAAGAAAGCCTAGCTAGGCTAGGTTTTTAATTACGATGGGATAAGTCAAGGTGGGTTTTATTATCTTTGAAGAATCAACCATCTGAAGATAGGCTTTGGCACCTATGTCGCAGATCAGTTATTTTTACGAATTTGAGTTTCAGTCGGTTTCTACTTATTATCCAGACCGTGCCAAACAGAAAATATGTTCCTATAAATACAGATGACGTGCAGCAGAAGAGGGATCTCCAATTCAACACAGAACTGTCCTGCGCAAAACCTCTCAAACATCTTGAGATTTTTTATTTTCTTTTTCTCGCCGACACATCTTCAGTTTGGATAAACAGCACTATGAAGGCAATCGGCGAACACCTTCAGTTTGGATAAACAGCACTGTAGCCATAGAATCAGCCGACCGAGGAGCACCTTCAGTTTGGATAAACAGCACTGCGTCGAGGTCAACTGGTTACCTATCCAAGTCTCGGTCGAGAAGGGTTTTCGAATGCTTATTGGCAGAGGTCATCTTATTAGCCTTCTCGGCGAAGTAAGGTGTTACGAGTTACAACATTCGGCCTACTGGACGCCGAGTGCTTTTATGATTGGGTACTCACAAGTGAGTTTCAGAGTTCGGCATTCTGACGGCAGAACCACATTCACCATCAAGACATACATCATCTTTGAATACTTGTGTCTGTATAGTCTGGTGTCAATTCGACGTGCTTATACTCTTACGAATATAATCACTGTGACCGAATCTGACGCTGACAATTTGTGAACTTCGCAGAACTAACAACCTTGTCTTCAGGCTTGAGAATCCAAAGGCTGAGATTTGTTTCTTCCTCGGCCGCAGTCGCAAGATAAAGAAGTCAGCAACGCGTTTAACGCAACATCAACAAATTTTACTCCTCGGCCGAGCTCGGCTGACGAGTTGGCACGCCCCGCATTCAACTGAAAGACGTAGTTAACTTATTAGTTACTCGGTCTACGCGCTACGTAGGCTTTGTAATTTTTAGGGTCAACATCTATAGAAATAAATTCAATTGTTAATTGGCATCGCACACAGAATAATATTATATAAGCCCAGCTGAGAACATGAGATTAATGGGAAAAGGGGAAAAATACACAATTAGGGTTTCAAGGAGAACAAAATGAGAAAATCAAAAGGGCATATTAGCAATTGAAAGTGGGTATTAGGTTTTGGACCTGAGAGAGGCCGCCATCGTCGTAGAGAAAGCTGCGGAAGAGATCGACGGCGCCCCAGTCCTTGCCGCTGAAGAAGGCCGGGTCGGATCCCGACGCAATCGCCTTCTCGAAAGTGGGTCGAATCGCTCCGAGAGGGTTCGCCAGACAGTCGTTCGCTACTCCCACCATATCTGATTCTCTCTCTCTCTCTCTCTCTCTCTCTCTCCTTTCAGTTCACTCACTCTCACAGTGTCTCTCTCTGTCGATGTGCCGTTTGGGATTAGGTTTCCCGAGCTTTTAAGTGAGGTCGTTGGGTTTTTCCCGCTAAGAAGTGCTTGTTCCCGCCATTTTGGTCCTAGGTTACTGGCTCTATCTTCTTACTTACAAAGAGTATAATTTAATGAGTTTCGGATCGTCGGATGTCGCAGACGACTTTTGGATCGTTTGATGCCGGGAAAGCTAAGTTGTGTTTTGCTTTTGCTTGCTTACCTTGGGTGAGTTAAGCAAATTTTTATTTTTTAGATTTTAATATAATAAGTATGATAGAAGGATTCGAACTTAGGTTAGAGTCTGTGTATTATTTTAGTAAACTTAGTTACGCCAAGATTAAATTAAATTTTATTGGCTAATTATTTCATGACGATAGAATCCGTTTCTATTGCAATTTTATTGTTGAAATCGTTGAACTTAATTGGGTGTATAGAGATAGCATGTTGTTTAGTCATTTTAGCTACGCCTCTAATCTTCGATTACGATTAATTTTGCTGGTTAATTAGCATATGATAATAAACTCGGGTTTTTGTTGTGAGTTCTTTGTTTGATTAATTTGGTGCTTGGTAGTTCTGAAAAGCCTTCATTCGTTCCATCATCAGTTCATAAACGTAGAAGAGAATCAAATTGGACAAACACATAAATTTAAAAAATTTTAAAAAAAATCTAAGAATGTTACATTATTTGCAGACGAATTACATTCTAATTAAGAAAAAAGAAATTAAACAAAGACACAATATAACTGCACTTTGAGCTAGTAGTGCACTCGCATTACTTTCCGTTACCGGCTCCATCCTTTGTCCTTCAAAATTGATAGGATAAACGGGTCTCTTGTTCGGATAAAACAGACCCCATTGTCGCTCCACTGCTTCACCAGGTTTCATGTTCTCGTTAAACATGGCGAACAAGTAAGTCTCGACGGACTTTCCCGGCCGCCTTGGAGTGCCATGCGACGACAGCACGTGCCTTACTAGGTTAGAGTTGTACTTTTGCGCAATGCTTGGTGTTGTCACGTTCCCATTCCCGCCGGACGGCCAGCCTGTCTCGGACACCACCACTCGGACTTGGGGTGCGCCTGCTTTCTCCAACGATGCATAAACCGCATCCACCATGGCTTCAAACAGGTTGTAATAACTCAGACCATCATCTATCACAACAGCGCTTTCGGAAGCGAACAATGCATAGGTTAGGGAAACGTCGCTAGCTTTTTCCACGTAGGTAAAGTAAGGGTACACATTGACTAGCAATGGTGCACCAATGCTATTCAAGTATCGTGCGATCGGAACCATGTACGCTGCGGTGTCTTGAGAAAATGTTGCGGCCGAGGGAGGGTAAGACTCACCCAGTACCGACATTGCAACTGCGGTCGAGACCTTTATTTGCTCAATAGAGTTAAGAACCCCGGAGCTCAATGCATTGTGCAATTTTTGCATTGCTGGGAGGACGTATCTTGCAACCTCTCCTGGGATGACCTCGTTCCCAACGGCTATGTATCGGAAATTGACTTGCGGCCAATAAGGACGAATGTAAGCTGCTACCCAGTCTTCAGCAGCGGATTCAGTGCTTGCAAGTTGTTGAAGTTCATCATTACGAACTCCAACTAGGACGTTAATGCCAGAACCACGAAGGGCCTTGAGTGCTTCGTGGTTTGGTTCGTAAATTCTCGTTAGACCAATTTGATTCAATTTGTACATGTTGATTACTTCTGTTGGTGGTGGTAAGTCGTTGCCTAGCATTCCATAGCATACTCCAATCGGAGAACCGAGTGCTGTCGAAAGCATGACGAAGAAGGCGAGAAAAAGAAATAGAAGATCACCGGCCATTGCCGAGATCGATTCAATAACACAGGTTTAGACAAGTTCTAACGCGAGCTGAATTGGTAGTGTGACTAATTTGCAAATTATATAACTCTAAACCATGGATTATATAGTTATCATACCCCAATTCAACCAGGAAAAAAAAAAACACGATTTCCTGATGAACAAAGGAAATCGAAACTCGAACTGCATTGTCAGAAAAGGAAAGTTAAACTAACAAAAACTGGTATGTTTCTTAGAAAAACCTAAATTAAACGAGGAGTTCAACTCAGACTAGGAAAACCTAAATTAATAAAGACGAAACGGGAATTAATACTTGCACTCAAACAGCTGCATTGCTCTCTAATGTAAAAAGTTGAGCGCAAAAAAAGTGCAGGATGACGTTCTTAGAGTGCCAATTCACACTCTCAATCTTCGAACATAATTTTAAGGCCCTAAAAGATCTAATTTTCCAAACTTCACGTCGGAAGCCTTGAGTTCCGGAAACGGAGAATGTGTCTGTCCGGTTAAAATTTGTTGCCTGAATTGGCACGCAAGCAATCGGCGACGTTAAATCCGATAATTGATGTATAATGTACGTATTTCTGTTTAGGCTCTCCGGGACATCTGATAAACATAGCAAAGCAAACTGATGAGCCTTCATCATCCAGAGAAAAGTCCGGTAAAGAAATTGCCGGATTTTGATTTCTCCAAACAGGCCACATGAACGTATCTTCCAAGCTTGTCCACTTGCCTGGCCTCGCCACCCGTATCTTTCTTGCAAACCTTGCACGTTTTGTCCACCCACCCCTCCTCCACATATTGCCCATCCACTAATTTCAAGTAAAAAACAATTATCCAAATTAGCAAAATTATTTCAGCAAATATTTTTTAAAGAAAATACACACAAACGCGACCAGTTACAAAATAAAACTTAAATGCATTAAACGAATAGTTTTTTATTGTGTGTTTAGTGTGGGTCTAGTAATCTCTTGCATGATCCATTAATTTGACATGAAATGACATGAAAATAAGGGGTATAATAAGACACGATCCGTTAAGATAACGAATATGACATAAAAACAATATGAACGTATTAAACACGATCCGTTTACCGGACTTAGTGTCTTTCCAGTTCTCGTTTGTAAGCATTTTTTGTGCATATTGTCCTAAATTTCTTTGTAGAATATATGATTATTTGAAATTGCTGAAGCTACATACCCTCAACATAGTCTTTGAAGAAATCCTTGTACGTCCCTCCAATTTTCCTTCTCAGAGCCCCATACTGCATGAAAATAATGAAACTCTATTAGCAAATTTGTACAAGCATTCTAGTTTAATTCATTTTTATTTATTTTTGTTAATTGATCCCTCTTAAAATTAAGGCGTGATTCGGATTTGTTAGCTGGTTTTAAAATTGATTATGAGCTCCTTAATCTTGTTGAATGTGCTAATTTGCCATTTAAGTGAGAAAAACTTACGTAAAATGCGGTATATAGGACGGTGTGGGTAAATTTACACGTTATAAAAGATTAGAGGGCTCAGAACCAAATTGAAAGTTGAGAAGGCAAATTGAAGAAGGTGATGAGAATTTAATGAGTTAGTGATTATACCTGTTGTCTGGACATTCTCTCTCCAGATTTAGTGGCATCCCAAGGAGAAATTTTTTATTGTGACAGGAAATACAGATGGTACATCACGTGTTTTTATGTAAGTGGTGAGAAATTTTATTTGTTAAGTCATTAACTTTTTAACACATATATCACACCATTTGTATAGTGACACGTAGTGTATCACCTGGTGTGCCGTTCACATTTAAAAATCTCTCCATCCCTAACTTCTTCAATAAGCACAGCATCTTCTGTAGACCTGGTCTGAGAAAAATCAAGTGCTTCTGTCACACTGCTGAAGGACTGTTTGGTTTTCTTCTTCCTTCTCCCCCGTTTCTGTTTTGGCCAGCACTCTAAGCTGAGAGGACGAGCTCCTGCTGATAAATCCACTGTTTGGTAATCTCTCTGCAGCTCCCAAAAATTTGAAGGGAAGTTGCCATGGGGATAGCTCAGAGCAAGTGTTCTAATTAGGATTCCCATGTATGGATTAATTGCTTCTTCTCTGTTTGGTTGGAGGGTTTTTATGAACGAATGCCACTTTTTGCCAGTTTGGGGGACTAAGTAGTGGCCACTACTCGGAACTCATAAGACCAGGTGGTTTGTATAATACTACGTGGCCATTTGTCATAGCAGTCGTTTGGTGTTTTGTTTCCATGTCATTCGATCCAAACATGAAGTATCTGATAGAATCTTAAACTAATGGCCAATGAAAAACCAAGGTTTTGCTTTAACGAAAGTCTCACTTTCCTCCCTGAACTTAAAACGGTGTGACTTTACCTTTGGTGTTTTCATTTCATGTTCTAGGTATCTTATTTTATGAAGTAAAACGTGTAACTCGTTAACTTGGCTTATGAGGAATGAGGTGGCGTAAGGGCACTCATTTTTTTGGTCAGTTGAACATTATCGAAGTTAACGATTTTTTCTGAACAACTTGACATAGGAGGTAACATAGGTTTCCGAGAGGAACTGTAAGAGGCACAGTCATACAGTTGTAAGTTCAGGAGAACAACGAGATTTTCGTCAAAGGACGGGGCATAAAAGCAAATAAGCCTAACATGCTTCTAATAAAAACACTTCTAACAAGTCAAGCCTCATATCCACCCAAGAAAAAAGAAGTAACTTATACAATTTTCTGGTAGTAAATTTCGTCAATGAGACTGACATGATAAAAACCATATAAACCATGCCAACCTCGAGAAGAGACACGGGAGGGACCTTCAGCGCCACGTCTGGCCCCCTGCAATTCCTCCTCAGGCAGTTATAACCGAAGTTAATGGCGAATCTCTTCATAAAGGACGATCCTTGCTTGGCTTTAACGTGTGAGTGCCCAAGTATAAATGCAGTCCCAGCCTGTTGAGCTGCGTAGAGATCCTCAAGCTCTTCGCACATCTGCATTGTATTCTCAGGCCGGGTGTCAGGCTTAGACTCCTCGTCGATAACAAACCTCACTCTTCTTTCAACCGGTTCCATCTCAATAACTTCTGCTATACTTTCTATAGTTGGGAAACCAGCAGATACACTTGCCGGTTGAGTCTCCTCAATCTCATAAGCTGGTGCACCAGAAAATGCTACTGTTCCGATGACAGCTAGTCTACACTCGCTCGTGTCAGTAGACCTTGATGCATCATCCTCGGTGCATGAGCTGGTTCTCTGTGTTTGACACCAATCATATCGGATGAAATCAACCAGCCTTTCAACTAGTTCTGTTTCAAAGGAGTCAACATCTTGATGAACATCACGGTATCCATAACGAACAATGCACCTGTAGGACCGATGAGCTGCAGGACCAACGCGACCCACCAAGTATCGCTCATCAGGCGGCACATAAGGGACTGGGACTGATTTTACACACACAAAAACTAGGACGCGGTGGAAAGCAGGGAGGTTGGTTACAAAGCGGGAGAAGTTAGCAGGAATGCCGGAGGTGAGATCTGTGAACACTAAGCCAATGCCAGGGACCCGAGCGGTTCCCAAGCTTGGACCCAAAGCTAGAAGCCAGTCTAATGAAACCTTGTTGTGGAGGTCATATTCGTATTTCTTGATGGTTCCATAGTGCCATACAAACATGATAGTCATGAGGAACAGCGCAAGAAGGATGGGAAGCCAGGCACCCTCTCGGAACTTGGTGAGCGAAGCTGAGAAGTAGAGCAATTCAATGGAGCCAAAGAAGATTAGGAAGCAAAGGGCTACAATAGGCGGCTTGTGCCAACAAATGATAATCACCAAGGAAGTGAGGCATGTGGTAACCAACATAACTGTCATCACTGCTAGCCCTGCAATTAAAGATAACAACTGCTTAGTACTTCAAGCAACAAAAGTGATTAATTGACTTCTTCTTGGATGCATTTGTGTTTTGAAGTTTACGCAGGCTTTACGATCAAATATATAGTACGAGCTAGCAAAATATGCAAGGGTAACTTACCAGATGCGTTTCCCAGGTGTTTTGTGTCTCTAAATCCAATGGTCACTGCAATGCAGAGGATCATGAGCATCCAATTGATCTCGGGGATGTATATCTGGCCATGTACCTTGTCAGACGTGTGGATGACCTTGACTCTCGGAAAACAACCTAATGATTGGCTCTGGTTTATGATAGAAAATGTTCCGCTGATGATTGCTTGGCTTCCCACAACAGAAGCAAGAATGGCTAGTACAAGCACCGGCCATCTCACACTTTCTGTCCCAAAAAAAGAAGAGCTGTTACATCTTCCATATAAGTATATATACTAGACAACTACAGTATGATAGATATCCTAAAAGATTACTGCATGAACCCCCTGTAGTACAACGCAAACTAAATCATCCAATTCTCATGCAGCAGCATATCTGATTCTATTTCTACGGGTGCTGGATATATTCCTGCCTTTAAAACAAGAACGACACATACCTGGAACCGAGACATAGAAACTGATTCGGTGACTGGTGTGGTGATGTTGCGATAAGTAAGCAGCCTGCCCCATATATGCCAATATAAGCGCTGGATAAACCAAAAAGGTAAAAGCAACCTGCACAACGAAGGGGGTTGCAGCTTCTGTAATCAGTATGCAAATCAGCGTTCGAAATGCATAGAGAAGATATACTACGAAGGTATGAATTACCTGAATGGCATTATATGAGAAGTGGCCAAGATCAGCAAACATTGCCTCTGAGCCTGCAAGCGTAGTCACACATATCATTAGCATTTATTTGGTTTCTCTCTTTTCGTTTGCATTCATTTGCCATCAAATTATTTCAGGAAACGAATGTCAGTTCTATGAAATTATATCAGTTCACGTTTTCTGGAATTCCATGTTCAATGCTTTCTACCATATGGGATCTGGCATGCACTGGCAAACTTATGCTTTATGCATACGTTTTCCACAACTCATCAATATGCAGGACAAGCAACACGGCAAGATGTATATAGGGGAATATGATAACTATTCTCCAATGTTACCTGTTATGCACAGCAATATTCCACCTAGAGACATCCACCCACTTATCCTTGTCTTCCTCAAGAACTTGAACATGTAATACGGAGACAGAGCTTGATAGACATGCTGGTTCCAGTGAATTATATTATACAAGCCAAGAGCACTGATGCACAGAAGCCATGCCAACACCACTGGTGCAAAAAAGAATCCGATTCGATGGGTGCCATAGTGTTGAAGTGCAAATAGACATAACAATATGAAACAAGTAATTGGAACCACAGCATCTGAAAATTGGCAAGTGAAATTTACGCACATCAGTATAATCAAAGTAAAGTTGACATTTCACCATATACAAACCTTAAGAAAACAAAAACTGATTAATCCTACGCTCCTATTGACTGGAAATGGAAAATTGAGTAGGAGACGAGACTGCTTACACTGGTGATGTTCCTTGGACATGGATAATTCAAGGCCAGACACCGCAGAAAAGACTAAAATAAAGCAGACATGAATTAGTCATCAAACGAGAAGAGATTGCTGCATCTTTTATTCTTCAATACGAAATGCATTCTACCTGAAATGGCTGGAGTGAGCACTCCATCGCCAATTACCATACAAGTTCCAAGAAGAACAAGAATTAGCAAAGCAGTGTGCAAGGTCTTGCACTTCTCAAGTACGAATTTTACCCTCGAACTTTTTTCCTTCTCCGGTGGGTGCTCCAATTTATAAGTAGAAAGTGCCTCATCAGCAAGCTGCCGGTTGGGCAGAAGGCTTACTTTCGCATGCCTACATATCAACGAGTACAGTGCAAATGTACCACCTGCAGAAAATCATGCACCAAATGTTAAAGCCTAAATACAATACTTTTTTCATATAACTACTTGTTTAGTACTTACCCTCTCCATTATCATCAGCTCGAAGGACTATAAAGACATACTTGAACAGCGGGACTAAAGTAAGAGTCCAGAAGACAAAAGAAAGTACACCATAAATCTCTTCATTCGTATCCGAATGTTGAATGTCATCTGCAAATGCACTCTTGTAAACATAGAGAGGGGAAATGCTCAGGTCACCATACACTACTCCAAGGCTCTGGTAGGCCAACAGCATAACATTCTTCCAAGAATCCTTCTGGAAATTCAGTCCAACATACAAATTTCTGAGTGTTCGGGTCGATTCTAGGAACAATCATTCACCAAGTTTCTAAAACATAAATTGCTTTGCTTATATAAACTTATACAATCACAACCAGCAAGAAACATCAAAAGGGTTGATGAACATAAGCACAATGAAGATACAGCACTAACCTTTGAAGTGTCCCAACACTTAATTCTCCCAAGATCCATGGCGCTGCTCAAATTTCAGCATTGAGTGCTAGATTCATCAGTTGGAAGCAGTTATTTGCAGATCTGCATTGAGACAGTACAAGTTTCATTGGTTAACTCAAAGTGCAGATTCTGCAGAATCCAAATATTTAAAATCCACAGCTTTATAGAGTTCAAAGTATGAATAATCACACTTCCAAGAACATATTCACACACTTTCCAGTAAACCCACATGGAATCCATACCTGTACTCACATTCCCACCAAAAGTTTGAAAGCTCAGAGAAAAATCTTTTGCAAATTTGCAGGATAAGAATGAAAACTCAAAAGGGATAAAAACCCAAAAGCCAAAAAATAAAACAGAATTGGTGGTCAGCGCACTAGAAAGTCTAGAATTCTTCAGATACATGTCTCATAGAACTGAGTAAGGGGCCCTCAATCATACTATACGCAGCTTCCTGTCACCTTACCCTTCTCAACCTTCAATGGTTGGTAGGGTTAAAAAATAAAAACTTAGACCTTGTTGTCAACATTCTATGGGAAAAAGATGGAGAAACTTGAATTTAACTATGATGCATGTGACATAAAACTTCGCATTTTTCACAAGAAAAACATATGGAAATTGGAGAAATCAGCAAATGGCCAAAGAAAAAGTTGAGTAATGGAAACAAGGGCATAGCCACGTGAATCAGTAAGAAGAGTTCCATATACCCAAAAGAAAAGAAAATTCAGGGTCAGGCAACTGGTGCCCACGCAAATAAAGCTGATTTCAAGGACCATTTATCTCAGATTCACAGCCACTATCTTATCACCTCTCTCTCTCTCTCTTCTCTCTCTCTCTCTACCCACAACCCTTGATAAATTATTTCATTTATGAGTGTTCTGATTGTTCCATATTCCCACCTAACTGCTAAAACCCTTCATTTTCTTTTGCTTGTAAACCATGATATTGAAAGCTTGTGTATTTACAAGTTTTTTTACCAACACTGAAGGTAAACCGTCACTATCTCAATAAATAAACAAAGGGGTTTGCAGCTAACTGAAGAAATCAGCAAACAAGACCAAGAGCATACCAAAAATTAACTTCCAGAAACTTGTAAGATTACCCAAATGCCAGAGAAAGAAAAAAATTTGCAAAACAAGGACTATATAATCTAAATTATAGAGGCAATTGGCAAACCCATGTGAAATTAAGGACTTCTGAACATGCTAATGCTAGCTCAAAGGAGCTAACTTTTTCCCAACCCTTAAAGACAAACAACATGAGGGGATGAAAGGCTCAGACTTTTCAGATTCCATCACACCCAGTAGGATTGGCCTCTGTGGGCTCTTTCTTTCTGACCCACCCACCTTGTCCTTTCTTCATTTTAGCTAAACAACTTTTTGATTGCATCAGCTATCATCAATCTTTGCCGGGATTGAAGATTGTCACTTCCATTTTTGTCCAAATTACAGTTATTTGCTGGAAGATTCTGCCTTTGCAATTCTAAGTTATAACCCACCAATACAATATTAAAATTTGAGCTTGAAATTCAAGGAAATAACTTTAAATCTATCGGTTAAGCAGTTAGTAGGCAATGTGTCTTATCTCCTTTGGCTTAAGTTCGAATTTCCATCTCGTGAATTAGAGTAGTTTAGAATATCGATTCCTGGAAGAAAAAAAAAAAAATGGAACCAATAACAAAGAGAATGAAATATAGCTCGCATTACAAACTAAAATTACCTAAAATTTTCGCACCAGCAAATCAGCATAGATCTCCAGGCATTGAACAGAAAATGAGGCTTCTATATTCTGTTTTTCTTCTTCTTTACACAACCGTATTGGGAGACAGAAAAATCAAACTCAGGAACTCGAACGCAAGTTTGAATGCTCTTGTTAACCAACCGAGCTACAAACCCTTTCGCGTAAACGAGGTTTTTCTACTTGAGAGCACTTGAGCAGAGCCGCACACTTTTTTGCTCAGAGGTGACAACAACCGGCAACTGGGTGTTTTATCAGGCTTTGTCAAAGTAAACTGAAGCAGTAAACAGACGGGTCAAAGATTTGCGTGTTTATTCGGTTCGATAGGGGATGGATTTGATGTGTGTTTTGAGTGGAATGAAAAAGCTTGTGACAGTGAGTCACGGTGGATTCGGGTGCATTGCATGTCAAAGATTCAAAGTGTGTCGACCAACCGACCATAGCGAATGTTTCTCCATATATTATTCACTCATCGGTAAAGTGACAATATTATATGATTTATGAACGTGGGTGAGTTTGGGAGGATATTGATTGATTGTGTTCTTAAAATTGTTATGAGGAAACTAAAGTAAAGGTCGTGTCATACATGAGACTTATACAAATGGGAATGCATGTTTAGTTTATTAATACTAGCAATTGTACGTTATTAAAATTTTGAAAATTAAATTTATAAAAAAAGAAAATATAAAATGATCGTTAAAGATTTTTAGACGACCTTCAAACGATTTTTGATTGTTAAATAGGTCGTTCATATTTTTAGCTATTGTTTCTGGTTAACTATTTCGTCACTAAAAGTATTTTATTTGAGAGAAATCCGTGGAAGAGAGAGAGGAAGCTGAGAGAGGCAACTGATATGGTTACTTGACTGTGAGGGACAAAAAAGTGTTCGATTTAATACAAAGAAATGACCTATTTTGTTACCAAAATAGCATTTTTAGAATATGTACAGAACATGCATACCATATGCACAAGATTTCTTAATCTTGGGGACCAAAATAGAATTTTTCTAAAACATAAAATAACTTAATTGTCCCTGTATATAAATGAGTTATTTTCTCCAACCCAGTCAGCATTTGCACGTTTCTTCGAAAATCATCCCTCAATCTCCAACTCGAAGAACCCTAACCCCCAAACGGTGACCCTTTTCCTCTCCAAGACTTCAATTGTTTCGAAACATGGTTTCCTGGATATATACTGCACTTTGATTATTTTGAGTTTTCCGAGCATTGAACTTTGAAGCTGGTCCTCGGCGGCCAAAACCTACCTCGCCAAATTCGCATTAGTGCTGGAATCCTGTCATATCTCTTTTGTATATCGATCAGTTTAAGCATAAGTTGATTGTTAGCAAGATCAGGCCAGTCTTTTAGTTAGAGGATTCGACGATTCGACCTGCTTTTGTGAGCCTGTAAAAGGTGGTCGGGTGGTGGCTTGTTGCCTAGGAATTAATCGGCTTGAGTGGATTCTTATGACGGTCGATTCATGTAGAATATTTTAGAGTAATTTGTTTGGAGAAGCTGGTTACGAAGGTGGCTAGAGGACTGAATGAGATATCATTTTGCATATAAGGTGACTGCAGTGGTAGTAGGGTTGATTTACGTATAGTTTCTCCACTTTCAATACAATAGCAATGAAATGGGATTGAATCATTAAAATTTATGAGTTACTGTCGTTAGCACAACTCATGTATCACATTAGCACAAATAATTTGGTTTCACAATTCACACCCACCAACAGTTGCGATAGCGTTATAGGCGAGTAGCACAACTCCTAGGGTTTCACAGCCATGATCAAGGGCTATGATAGCGTCACACACGATTGAACTAGCACAAATCTTTAGGTTTCACATCCGTCGCCTATGATTGTGTCTCGTGCAACTGAAGCTAGCACAACACAACTTTCAGCAATTATAATAGCGTTGCATGCGACTACCGCTAACACAACTCTTTATATTTCACACCTTCCAAGGACTATGACGCTGCCACATGCGATGGACACTAGCGCACTCTACCAAAAGCATTATAGCTGACTCAATAATCCACATAGATTATAGAGGGTGGTGGTTAGGGTCCAATTGCATTGCAAATTTGCAGTGCATTCCATCCACCGTTAATATTGTGACACCGCACACCTCCTCATAACTTATAATTCACAGATTCCTTCCTATTTACCTAATAGGCAGATGAGGCCATTGCAAGAGCCCGCAAGGGATGAATCGCGGACAATAGTATCATCTGGAAATTCATCTTCAAGGTTTCTACGTCTGCTTCGTATTGCTGCTGCAGCGGCGAAGGCGGAGGCGGAGGCGGCAACATTCTTCTTCTTCTGCAGTGATTGGTAGTCAATGAGTTGGGGAAATCGAGAAGGGAGTGAATTGTGTGATTCCCAGCAATCGGCACGTCTAGAGGAGCGGTTGAAGAGAATCAGGACATTCTTGTTGTTGTCGTTGTCGTTGGTACGTGCTCGGTGCTTGTCGAAGAAATGGGGAGTGGAGATTAAGGCGCGCCATGACTTGCATACACAACGGAATCACAGGAGACATATGACCTGTAGCCACGAAAGTATCTCGACGATTATATCCTCGTTGTTGGAGGAGAAGATCGACAATTTTCCGTCATCATCCGCCATAAGTACTCAAAACGACGTCGATCTCTGTGTGGATATGATGAGAGAGCGGCTGAGGGATTAAAACTGCAGGCAGATTCTGTTGCTTGTCTGACAGCCCTAGCCAAATGCTTTGAAGGTGTCTGATTGGGCACAGCTGACTAAACGAATACTGTCACCAAAAGAAGAACGCTGTCATAAACAAGAAACGGGCAGATTCTTTTTCTGAGATGGTTCCTCAGTTCCTCTTCCTCAGAATTCTTTTGGTGTTGAAAATCTTGGGGTGCAGGTTGGATTCTTTAAGGTGTTCCGTATTTATACCACCAGTCTGGAATCCCGAAATCGTAGCGATTTGTACTGATTAGAGCAATTGTATTTTAGGGATGTAGTCACACTAAGATTTTAAAAGATTTTAAAGGATTTTAAAAGTGATAGATTTTATAGGATTTAAGAGGATTAGAGACTTCTACAAAATTCATATGGATTTTTAAAGAATTTGAATGGATTGTGGTGGAAGGATTTGAAATTCTAAGGGGTGAGGTTGGATTCTTTTTAGTCTTGGTTATATATACTTTTGACTTTCAAATCCCACAAAATCCACAACTTATTGAAATCATCCAAAATCTTAATTTTTTTAATACACTTAGATTTGGATGGATTTTTAAATTCTTTAAAATTTTTTAATTGACTACACCTAGATTTTAAAGGATTCTAAAATCCTTTAATTGACTACGCTTAGATTTGAATGGATTCTAAACTCCTTTAAAATCCTTTAATTGACTACATTAGAATTTTAAAGTCTTTTAAAATCCTCTCAAATCCGAGTTTGACTACACCTCCTTAGTGCACGATACTACGGATTTTATTTGTTTCCTTGTATAGCTAATTTACTTGTATAGACTATAGACTCCCCGTAATCCTATATATAGACTCCATTCAGAGAGGAATAAACATACATATGTGCCCATTTACAATTTAACTTATTGTGTGTCTAGTTTTTGTCAACTATTTTTTGTGTTCAATTTTAACTATATATTTTTTAAAATAATTTTTAACCGCACGATGTACAATGGATCCCCGAAATCCTCACAAATAAGATCCGGAAAGGATTCTCATTCATAAAAAGTCCATTCATCTCATAAGTCAAACTAAAACCACATAACTCTTTAAATATTCATACTAATTTCTATCAAATCTATTAATTTTAAAGCCTTTTAAAATTTATTAACAATAAAACAATTTTAGGGATGGAGTCAAATTAAGATTCGATAATAGACTTTAAAACTCGAATATAGACAGTACAAGAAAATATGAATTTTGTGAAAAAACGGGTTTCATCACATATTCATTGAAATTCGTCACATATATTTATATGTAATGAATATCACCTATGACGCGCCACCAATATACGTCACGAATTTTTCGTTCTTCACTTATTAGTTATTATGTGATCCAACTTTCCTCACACATTCTCAGCTCATATTCCATAGTTGAACCAAGGTGTCACTTATTCTTGAAATGTGTGATGACTTATGCTTTCGTCACATACTACGTTAAGTTCAATATAATTTTATAGGTAAATCACATTTTACCATTTTAATTTTGAACCACATAATATATTTATACCTCATTTTTTGAACA